CTGGCGGGGTGGGAGCGGGCCGGGCCCCCACCCGGCGCGGGCGGCCTGAGCACGGCCCGGCCCCGCCTGGCAGTGCGAGGTGCCCCCTGCGCCTCTGCCCTGAGCCCGCAGGACCAGTTGCAGGTGTAGGCCCCTCCCGGCCCGGATGCCCGCGCTCAGCTTCCCCTCTTTTTGCCCGATCAAAATGCTAGAGCAGGTCCTGTGTGGCAAAGGCCCCGCAAGCCTCTGCGTTGAACCTCTGCACGCCTCTGCCACCCGCCGGGTTTCCCGGTGGCGCCCCGGGCCATGCTGATGTTGCGGGGCCCCCTGGCAGAGGTCTGTGCCCCCTGGCTGCGGTAGCCAGGTGGGAATCGCAGCCTTGGCGGGCTTCCTCTAGCAGGCCAGAAACGCCTGCTGGGTGTTGCTGTGCTTTCTGAGATAGTCCGGTGAGATGGTGGGAGCCTTGTGATTGCTTTTAATGCAGGCGTCATCTTTTTTCCTTCCCTCTGAAAGTGGCGCTTCATTCAGGAGATGGAGAAGACAGATTTCAACACAGTGCTAATTCCCTGTATAAACCAGCATCTCCTCAAGAAGAGGAGCCTTTGCTGGAAGAGCTGCCAGGGAACAGATACAGTAGGCCAAAACCTAGTGATCGCTTCAACATTGCCTACATTATTTTCTTCATCCTGGGCACTGGCTCTCTGCTGCCTTGGAACTTTTTCATTACGGCAAAACAATACTGGATGTACAAACTGCAGAACTGCTCAGCCCAGGCGGCGGAGGGGCAGGGAATCTCTGATCTCCGTGTGAGTATGACGGCTTCTCTCTAATGCTGGTCTCAGTCATGGAGTTGAACACGACTGGGATCACGTGATTGTGTTTTAATTGTAGTGATGACAAACAGGAGTACTAGACACTGGGGCTGAGGAAGCTGGCTTCTGCTTTCAGGTTAAGTGGCAGTTTTATTCTCTAGAAAGGGATTAAGACTCACCCAGAACTTGGGAGGAGCAATAGTTGCTCCTCAGAACTAGCTGTTTTCATTATAAAGCAGATGTCTTCCCTTCCTCTCCTCTGGCCCGTCCTTGCAGTAGAAAAGTGAATCTCCCTGGAATTTTGCAAATTGCATCTTTTGAGGTTGTTCATTGGGGAAGAAAGAAAAGCTTTCAAGTTGTGGTCTAAAAATGTCCTGAACATCCTTTATGAAAAGTTTTCTTATTTTTACAGAAAATTTCTATTTCAAGATATCCTTCTCTAATAAGGCCTACTAATACAATGTCTGTGCACAGCTACAGGTGCATAGTGTAGATTCAGTTCCTGGTATGGTTTTACTGGTGTTAGTGAAACAGAGACTGTATGCCATAGGAAAGTGGTTCTCAACTGTTCGGCCCTGTAGGTGAGGTGGGTGGCACGGAGTCTGTGTGTGGACTGGATCAGGTCATCTGTAAGCCAAATAAGGACATGGGGCTCAGCTCCACCTCCTGTGCTCCAGGATTAGGTCCCAGGGTCTGACACCAACCCCTCCCACCCCCCACATGCTAGGATTGGGCCCTGAGGACTGGTGCCACCCCCACCCAGCTCTGCGTGCTAGGATTGGATGCTGGATCCAGTGTGCAAGGCTGTGGGCTCCCCATGAGTTCAGTAACTTGGCATTGGGGATGTAGTTCCACTGCTCTCCTGCTGCTAAATTTCCAGTCCCATTGGGAGCCCCACAGTTCTAAAGAAATGGCCCTGCAGTTTGGATCTGGCTGCTCGGCTGGAGGTTGAGCATCACTGCCATAAAATAACTATCCTCCTATAACTATTTTCAGACCTTCCAATTTTTTAAGGTGCAGAATTATTGCAAAACAGCTGTCATGTAATTTTGATTATTGTCTTGATTCCAGTAAAATACACTTTAAGCCTTAACTCTGTCTCTTCTCTCTTTTTTTTTTTTTTTCAAACTATGTCCTTTAATCATAAATATCTTTTAACTAAACAGAGTTGACTAGGTGCTCCACTGGGCATCCAAAAGCTCACATCACAAATTCAAATAGCTGGTGACATTTGTTGGAATGGGAGTTAGACACTTTATTGCTCCATTTCCCCCTCAAAGTGAACTTTCATTCCTCTGTAGTTTCATTATATGATGCCTTCCAAAGGACAGTTCAGTCCATAATCAAATCCAACTCTAATGATACAATATTCAGGTGCCATTATTTGTTTCAGTATCTGGACCCTCGTCAATAGTCGCTGCTTCTGAGCCTAGTTTCCTTGTGGAGATGTGTGACATGTGCATGTGTACAACTGACCTTTCCCTGCTTCTGTCCAAGAAACCAATTCTCACAAGTAACATCCCATTCTCAGATATAAGCTTGCTGGCCATTCTGCTAGGTTATAGCAGAGGTTGTCAGGGGGTACTTGGAAAGGGGCTATAGGGTACATGCTGGCAGGTAGGGATGGAGCACTGCCACCCACCACCCCATGCCACCACTTCCTAGCAGCAGGGGGGGGGGACTGAGGACAGTGGCTCCCCTCTGTGGGCCACACAGGCACCAGCCGAATGCAGCAGAAGGGAGGTTGTATAGAGCAGCTGCTGTTGCATCCACCACCCTGCACTGCTGCTGCCGCTGTGTGCAAGGCCAGACTCCATGTCCAGGCCCTCCCCCCACCCCCCTCTGTGTCCAGC